CTTTGCCATATGTTCGTTGCAACCTATAGTGAAACATTTCTTCCTTTCCAACTTTCTCAACTCTCACCCTTGGCACAACCTACTCGACATCCTAGGCCCTAGTTAAACTTGATAATTCTCGTTCCAGTTTTGATATGCTATCAGAGCGAGTTACGTCCTGGCCTGTGGGCCCCCCTCATGCTTCCGTTGCTACGTTTTTCCGGTCGCGTGCCTAGGGCGCGTGGCGATTTTCTATTGTCCCGCCCCCGGTTGGCGAGTGATTCCCACTCTGCCCGTCGCGCGCCTCGTGGCACGCGACGGTGCCCTAAACCTGCCCGTCGTGCACCCCGTGGCACGCAACGGTGCCCTGCTCGTCGTGCGCCCCGAGGCACACGACGGTGCCCTTACCTTAAACTTACCCGTCGTGCGCCCTGTGGCACGCGACGGGCCTCTCCGCACCTGCTCTCCCTGCAGCCGCCCCTGACCTACCTGCGCCGACACATTGTAGCCGCTCTGCGGCTTTCTTCCCGCCCGCCCCCTCCTCCTTTGTCTCCCTGCAGCCGTGGGGGGGAGGGTATGGGGGTGGCGGGTGTTGGAGCGTTGGGTCGTATCCCTCCCTTCCCCTCCTCCTCCTTTCGTTCCCACTGCTGCAGCTGCCGCTGGGGGGGAGGGTGTGAGGGTGTGGGGGAGAAGGGGGAGTGGCACTGGGGTGGCGGATGTGAGGCAACCAGCAGCCGTCCCTCCACCTCTCCTCTCTTCCCCCCCTCTCTGCTGCTCCTGCAACAGTGTGGGGGAGGGGAAGGAGGAGGGTGAGGAGATGGAGGGGGTGACCAGCTAGTGTTAGCCCGCCTGCAGTACCTGCTGTTGCTTGTTTATTATTTTGCATGTGTACCCCTACAGGTTGTATTCTGCACAAACTCCTGTTGCAGGCAGTTATGGGGGAGTGCCAGAACTTATATTTGTAACTGCCTGTAGCTGTAGTTAGTGTAGTTATTATAAACATTGTTTGGTGGTGCACCTTCTTTGTTTCCTTTGCTATATGTTCTTTGCAACCTATAGTGAAACATTTCTTCCTTTCCAACTTTCTCGACTCTCACCCTTGGCACAACCTACTCGACATCTTAGTTGGGCCTAGGCTCCTAAGCCTAGGCCCTAGTTAAACTTGATCATTCTCGATCGAGTTTTGATATTGTGCATTGGTCTAACGTTGCAAAACCGGGAAATTACACTACGTTGCACAACGAGTTAAAAATACAAACGGTGCACCTTATAGCTAATTGTGCCATGACTGGGTATCCTTGAACAGATTCAAGTCGTTCGGAGCACTGACGCATGTTTACCTTGCCAAAGCAGTTGCGAATGATCTCAGACCAGGATGGTCACATCTAGGTACATAGGAGAGGCTCTTGGTACAAAGAAACGGGAGTTAAACATGCAAACATAGCACTTTATAGCTGATTGTGCCATGTCCGGCTATCCTTGAACAGATTCAAGCCGTTCGGCCCACTGACGCATGTTTACCTAGACAAAGCAGCTGCGAATGATCTCAAACCAGGACGGTCTCACCTAGGTACATAGGAGAGGCTCTTGGTACAAAGAAACGGGAGTTAAACATGCAAATAGAGCACTTTATAGCTGATTGTGCCATGACTGGCTATCCTTGAACAGATTCAAGCCGTTCGGCGCACTGACGCATGTTCACCTAGCCAAAGCAGCTGCGAATGATCTCAAACCAGGATGGTCTCATCTAGGTACATAGGAGAGGCTCTTGGTACAAAGAAACGGGAGTTAAACATGCAAATAGAGCACTTTCTAGCTGATTGTGCCATGACTGGCTATCCTTGAACAGATTCAAGCCGTTCGGCGCACTAATGCATGTTTACCTAGCCAAAGCAGCTGCAAATGATCTCAGACCAGGATGGTCTCATCTAGGTACATAGGAGAGGCTCTTGGTACAAAGAAACGAGAGTTAAACATGCAAACAGAGCACTTTCTAGCTGATTGTGCCATGATTGGCTATCCTTGAACAGATTCAAGCCGTTTGGCGCAGTGACGCATGTTTACTAGCCAAAGCAGCTGCGAATGATCTCAGACCAAGATAGTATCATCTAGGTACATAGGAGAGGCTCTTGGTACAAAGAAACGGGAGTTAAACATGCAAACAGGGCACTTTCTAGCTGATTGTGCCATGATTGGCTATCCTTGAACAGATTAAAGCCGTTTGGCGCACTGGCGCATGTTTACCTAGACAAAGCAGCTGCGAATGATCTCAAACCAGGATGGTCTCACCTAGGTACATAGGAGAGGCTCTTGGTACAAAGAAACAGGAGATAAACGTGCAAATAGAGCACTTTATAGCTGATTGTGCTATGACTGGCTATCCTTGAACAGATTCAAGCCGTTTGGAGCACTGACGCATGTTCACCAAGCCAAAGCAGTTGCGAATGATCTCAGACCAGGATGGTCTCATCTAGGTACATAGGAGAGGCTCTTGGTACAAAGAAACGGGAGATAAACATGCAAACAGAGCACTTTATAGCTGATTGTGCCATGACTGGCTATCCCTGAACAGATTCGTCTCGATCCGCGCTTTGACGCTTGTTTACCTATCCAAAACAAGTGCGACTGATCTCATAACAGGATAGACTTACCTAGATACACAGTTGAGGCTATTGGGACAAAGTTACGGGGGATAAAAATACTAGGAGGGTACTTAATCGCAGTGAGTGGCATGACTGTCTTTCCTTGAACAGGCAGTGAGTGGCATGACTATCTTTCCTTGAACAGCTTTGACGCGTTCCGTGCACTGGGTGCTCACATCGTTCGCAACTGCTTTATATAGGTAGACAAGCGTCAGTTCGCAAAATGGGTCAAATATTTTTAACGGTCAAATATTTTTAACGTCAGTTTTAACGTCAAAACGGGTCAAATATTTCTAGCCAATCCTATTACCGTCAACAGCTTATCGCGCTGCTTGTATTATTCTCAATTCCTGAAACCATTAACCCTCCAAATGTATCTAGGTGAGACTGTCTGGTGCTCACATTAGAAAGGCAATTTAGCTGCTGACAGTCACTACAGATGGCATTGCTATCACTTGCCATTGCACAATTTTGATCGTGTGCAATTTCCATTATAATGTTGCATGTGTATAGCTGGGATACGTTGTATGCATAAAGACATTGTACCAGGGTGCACACTGGTGTTTAGGTGTGTATCGATTGCCACTGTTATGCTCTTGTTGTAGTGCGTGCATTTGGGTACAGTCCATATGTAAAATCTTGTCGCCATATCATCACAGACTCATTTGATTGGTCCTTGTCTGAGTCAATTGCGTGAATGAAGGGAGGTAAGAAGCATCACCCCCGTCGCGCATCGCGGGCACGATCAGCTGCATCGCGAAGCAAGGATGCGGCAGTTGGTGGGTGTAAGCTGGCGTTTAGTGGACTGATTGAACAGTGCACCAAAATGACAGCTCAGAAACGCAACTGTTACAAAGCAACTTACCTATTCCTGGTCATTGCAGGTTGGTTTTCCGAAAATGGGAATTCGTTCGCCACAGCGCTTTGCTATGGCATCAAGCAAGCACAGAGCACTTTTCCTAACTCTGACGCGCGAGCCCATTGCTTCTTGGTCTCATTCTCCCCCTCGTAAGTCATACAACCTTGGCCGCACCACTTTTAGCTGAGTTCGTATTTTTGAACTGTAAAAGCAACACGAAGAGCCAGCATCTAAGCCAAGCCAAGTCGCCGCGGCATTTGAGGACGAGGAACGCGAGGCTAATGCGATCTTAGGCGAGATTGTGGCGCAAGACGACTTCGACGATACTGAAGAGGATGCAAACGACACGACACGTAATGACAACGGCGCGGGCAAATCAGGGGGTAAGTCAACTATCTTATGGCACCTCCTTCCGCCATGTCCCACCACCTCTGAATGGTGTGGCCAATCTAATTATCCATAACGGTCCATTTTTGCTTGCATGAGCGCGATCTGCCGTCGCATTCATGTTTACCTCGCATCTTATCTTTGGTTCATACTTGACACCCACGAGTAACTAGTCGTTTTACACTCACTGTTGCACGTGCCCCTAAAACAACGTCTGTGGCTGCAATAAACGAAGAGGAAGAGCGTACAAAACAACTGGAACGCGCGGAGGAGAGCCCTTTGGGCGCCATTAACAGGTCTTCACCCCTGGGCAACCCGCCTCTGTCGACTCGCCAGGGCGCTGAAGAGAGCGAGATTGAGGCGTTGAAGCGACAACTTCGGGAGCGTAACTTACAGTATGAACGTCTGCAGCGGCAGATGGACAGAGGGGGCGGAGGCTCATGCGAAGAGCGAGGTTCCGCTAGAAACGTGTGTGTGGCACACGACAATGTTAGTCGGGAAAAACAGATGGCGGTTCCGCGAACACCGCCTGCTGCTCCTCGTGTAGCACCGGCCACTCAACGCCCGTCATCTCTAATCTCCAGTCGTGACCCGGAGGACGTTGAAGGGCGTCCTGGTCCAAACGGCAAGCGCAAGCGCAACTTCCTTGTGGTTGGGGACAGCAAGCACCGTCGCCTGCAGCTATATGCACCGGGTGATGCCATTCCAAGGAGAGACCAGGAGCTCATGTGCAAGCTTCCAGCCAACGGAAAACCATGGGCTGTGAGTGAAAATGTTCCCCATGCTTGTGTGTATGTCTTTGTTCCTCTGGCTTTGCAAAGCATTGGCTCCTTGCATACATACATCCTTCTTTGGTCTTCCCATGTATGCTTGTCCAACCTTCAGATTTTCTATATGTGACTTATTCCACACACCTTACTCATCAGAAGATGGAAACGGCAGTGCAAATTGCTTTGTTCTACCAGCCCAACGACCGGACGACTATGTATCTCTTGGACTGACTCATAACAGAGTGCTTGATCTTCGTGTGGGGTGAGGACCTTTGTGATGCAGTGGTCTCCGTGATGACGTATTGCACCACACGTGCAGGTGTGGCAAAGCGGAAGCTGAATGATTGGCGAGGTCGCTTGTCGATGCATGCGCGGAAAGTGTTTTGCGATGCGTTCGGCCTTGCGTGCGAGGCAAATCCGCGGCTCAAATACGCTTACGACGAGCTTGTCAGTGATGAGCAGCTGACTTTGAAGGACGTGTATGATCTGGAAGGCGTGAAGCCCCTCGGTATGTATGCGACTTGCCCTGAACCCTCAATCGCACTCACCGATCCCCTCTGTCCCTCATTTGCTCCTCTCCATTCCCTTTGCCCATCACTCCATTCCCTCTGTCCCTCCTTTGCTCCTCTCCATTCCCTTTGCCCATCACTCCAATCCCTCTGTCCCTCCTCTTCTCCTCCGCTGCTCCTTCCATGCCCATCACTCCCCCTCGCATCCCATTATTTGGCAGTCAGAGGTGGGCTGCTGCGATGGCATGTGGATGACGAGCTGAACCGCCCTTTTGCAACGGGGCTGTTTGATATCATCATTCGGAATGCGTTTCACAAGGGTGTTGGTGGTTCTGCGACTGTCATCAAGGCTTTCCACATTGCATACATTCTGTATTTGGTAAGCCCCCAAATCCACACATGAGCACTCATGCGCTGCTGTTATATATTCTCCTCTTTGCTCACCTCTGTCTTGATTTTTGTTGTACTCACAGTTCCCATCTTCTCCTCATTCAGGTACCCCTTTCCCTATACCCACAACTTCCCTTTTCCCTTCCTCCCAACGCCACCTATGTGCCTCTGTTGCCCCTTGTGCAGGCGCAGTCACTCCAGGCCTTCCGCTCACCTCCTCCTCACCCTCTTCCCTTCCTCCCAAACCCACCTGTGTGCCTCTGTTGCCCCTTGTGCAGTGGCAGTCACTCCAGGCCTTCCGCTCACCTCATCCTCATCCTTTACCCTTCCTCCCAACCCCACCGAATGTGCCTCTGTTGCCCCTTATGCAGTGGCAGTCACTCCAGGCCTTCTGCTCACCTCATCCTCGCCCTCTACCCTTCCTCCCAACCCCACCTATGTGCCTCTGTTGCCCCTTATGCAGTGGCAGTCACTCCAGGCCTTCCGCTCATCTCATCCTCGCCCTCTACCCTTCCTCCCAACCCCACCTATGTGCCTCTGTTGCCCCTTATGCAATGGCAGTCACTCCAGGCCTTCCGCTCACCTCATCCTCGCCCTCTACCATTCCTCCCAACCCCACCTATGTGCCTCTGTTGCCCCTTTTGCAGTGGCAGTCACTCCAGGCCTTCCGCTCACCTCATCCTCGCCCTCTACCCATCCTCCCAACCCGACCTATGTGCCTCTGTTGCCCCTTGTGCAGGGGCAGTCACTCCAGGCCTTCCGCTCACCTCATCCTCGCCCTCTACCCTTCCTCCCAACCCCACCTATGTGCCTCTGTTGCCCCTTATGCAGTGGCAGTCACTCCAGGCCTTCCGCTCACCTCATCCTCGCCCTCTACCCTTCCTCCAAACCCTACCTATGTGCCTCTGTTGCCCCTTATGCAGTGGCAGTCACTCCAGGCCTTCCGCTCACCTCATCCTCGCCCTCTACCCTTCTCCCAACCCTACCTATGTGCCTCTGTTGCCCCTTATGCAATGGCAGTCACTCCAGGCCTTCCGTTCACCTCATCCTCGCCCTCTACCCTTCCTCCCAACCCCACCTTTGTGCCTTTGTTGCCCCTTGTGCAGTGGCAGTCACTCCAGGCCTTCCGCTCACCTCATCCTCGCCCTCTACCCTTCCTCCCAACCCGACCTATGTGCCTCTGTTGCCCGTTGTGCAGGGGCAGTCACTCCAGGCCTTCCACTCACCTCATCCTCGCCCTCTACCCTTCCTCCCAACCCCACCTATGTGCCTCTGTTGCCCCTTATGCAGTGGCAGTCACTCCAGGCCTTCCGCTCACCTCATCCTCGCCCTCTACCCTTCCTCCCAACCCCACCTATGTGCCTCTGTTGCGCCTTATGCAGTGGCAGTCACTCCAGGCCTTCCGCTCACCTCATCCTCGCCCTCTACCCTTCCTCCCAACCCCACCTATGTGCCTCTGTTGCCCCTTTTGCAGTGGCAGTCACTCCAGGCCTTCCGCTCACCTCATCCTCGCCCTCTACCCTTCCTCCCAACCCCACCTATGTGCCTCTGTTGCCCCTTTTGCAGTGGCAGTCACTCCAGGCCTTCCGCTCACCTCATCCTCGCCCTCTACCCTTCCTCCCAACCCCACCTATGTGCCTCTGTTGCCCCTTTTGCAGTGGCAGTCACTCCAGGCCTTCCGCTCACCTCATCCTCACCCTCTACCCTTCCTCCCAACCCCACCTATGTGCCTCTCTTGCCCCTTTTGCAGGGGCAGTCACTCCAGGCCTTCCGCTCACCTCATCCTCACCCTTTTCCCTTCCTCCCAGCCCCACCTATGTGCCTCTGTTGCCCCTTGTGCAGGGGCAGTCACTCCAGGCCTTCCGCTCGCCTCATCCTCGCCCTTTTCCCTTCCTCCCAACCCCACCTATGTGCCTCTGTTGCCCCTTGTGCAGGGGCAGTCACTCCAGGCCTTCCGCTCGCCTCATCCTCACCCTCTTCCCTTCCTCCCAACCCCACCTATGTACCTCTGTTGCCCCTTGTGCAGGGGCAGTCACTCCAGGCCTTCCGCTCACCTCATCCTCACCCTCTTCCCTTCCTCCCAACCCTACCTATGTGCCTCTGTTGCCCCTTGTGCAGGGGCAGTCACTCCTGCCATGTTGCAAGACCCTCCAGCACACTTCCCCTATGCCCATATCCCATTCCCCCTTGTGTGCTCCCTGCTGCCCCCGTGTTGCCACATTTGCTGCTGTTTGCTGAATCATGACTAAATGCAGTCCGGTACTCTATTCATTGTATTTTTTGCCATCCCGCCCTCTTCTGTATGCTATTTGGCAGGTTGAGCACGGTGTTCAGCATCACACCACCAACGGCAAGAAGGTTTCAACCGATGCCTGCGTCAACCACGACCAGATCCTTTTGCTTCACAGGAAGGTGAAGGCGGCGATCAAGAAGTATCTGGATGACACTCCTGACGACCAGCTGTCGTCTTGGGATGCGGATCACCAGAGATGGGTATTCGGACCGACGGGCAACGTTGTCATCTCGGGCAGTGGCTTTCCGAATCACATCCCCGACGGCGCAGATCCTGACAAGAGGGACAAGGAGGAGGCGGAGATTCTGGTGAAGTATTGCAGGATGCAGGCCGACAAGATTGAGGCCAAGAGAGGTTGTCAGGTGCAGGGTGATGGTCGTGATGACGAGGATAACGAGGTAGGCAATTGGATGGATGAAGGGGATGATGAGTATTGAGCGCATGGGTTATGTGGTGGTGTATTGGTGATGATGATTGCCATGTGGCAATAATGTGCTTATTTGAGCACAGTGTAGTACGGTAGGGTAGGTGGTAGGAATGTATTGTAGGTTCAATAATGGATTTTGGCAAATGGAATTAATACCTTTCAATGGTCGCTGGTATTATAACTGGTTGCCGAAAGCATATGAATAAGACGCTGGGAATGATAAACATACAAAAACCAGAAACATATTGTTTATATAAGAAAATGGTACTATGTGTCCAACAAAAACATGTCTAAACTTCAATAGAAACAGATACAATCAGGAAATCTAAAACATACCTAGTGCCTACTGTTTGGAGAACACTGATTCATACCATATGGAAACCATGAAGGTATTGAAAGGCTACTAATTGGCGTTTACTATTTGCATACTGTTTACTTGCTATTTTGCTACTATTTGCGCACTACTGTTTAGTATCTAAATGGACCATACTAAATACCTACGACGCATGCTACTTTATGGTACCCGTAATGACCCATACTTTTTGCATACTGTAGGGTATGTTGCTACTATATGTACCGTATGTAAACAATTCATGATTTTTGAGATGCCCTGGGGGACGGCTCTCAGGCCACACGAGGACCCTCGGTCCCCTTCCCCCCCTGGGGGACGGCTCTCAGGCCACACGAGGGCCCTCCGTCCCCTCCCCCCCCTGGGGGACGGTTCTCAGGCCACACGGGGAGACCCTCAGTCCGCTCTTTCTCATCGGGAGACGTCCTTCGCTGCTCGTGCTGTTTGATACTGTCGTCAATAAAATTCTCCCGTGCGACTAGTGGAGTCTTCATAAAAATCTTTCCACAACTGTGGTGTTGAGCCTAATTTTCTGCCACCAAGGGATAAGAGGAGCATGGAGATCAATAGAAGGTATACAAAGAGAACATAGCGAGAAGAAAACTTAAGCAACAAATGACTTGCAGCACTTAGGCAACAAATGACACCCAGTCAAACGACTAAGGGCGTGTGCACTAGAGCTTGATATTGTGAAAATCGAACTTTGAAATCGAACTGCCGTCATTGTTGTTATTCGAACACCCGGGATTCGAACTCATGGCTTTTGGCACGAAGTCTTGTAAAAATTGCTTGGGCACTCAAAAGTAACACACTTCAAGGTTCGGACAAGTCGTCGCACACGTAAATATTGTACAGTATTGTCATCATCGCAAGAAATCCGATTGGGTTAAATCGGACACGTCAGCACGTCGTGAGCGTCGCACAAGTTGGAGCTCGAACCGTGCTCCGGAGGCTGTTCAAATGTGGCTGGGAACTCAGAATTTGAACACGTCAAAGTCGAAAGTGTTAACATATTCAAAAATTCCTCGCGAAGCTGATTTGCGAGATGTACGCAGTCAGGTTACCAACTGAGTTCAAACATTTTTGAACGCTAGTGCACACGCCCTAAGGCGCTGTAGTGTAGTTTCGTCACTGCCGCGCCATCGGCCATTTCGTCCCTGGAGCGCTAGTGGCGATTTCGCCACTGACGCACGTGGCGTGTGGTGATTTCGTCCCTGGCGCGCGCCACTTGCGCCAGTGGCGATTTCGTCCCAATCGCCTGCCACCGGCGCCAGTGGCGATTTCGTCCCGAGCGCGAGCCACTCGCGCCAGTGGCGATTTTGTCCCTAGCGCAAGCCACTGGCGCCAGTGGTGATTTCGTCCCTAGCGCGAGCCACTAGCGCCAGTGGCGATTTCGTCACTAGTGCGTGCCACTGGCGATTTCGTCTTTGGCGCGTCTGTTGGCGTTTTGTCCGGCGCACTTAACGCTTAGTTGAGCGCCCGCCAAGTGCAGTCGCACGCTTGATAGTGCTGTCCTTCATGGAAAATCGAGCGCATGAGTTGTTGTGTAAGTGAGTCTTAGTGTAATAGGTGTTCTAAGGGCGTGTCCGGAGTGACATGTCAACGGATGTCGATGGATGTCGACGGACGTCAGGGTGGTAGGTGAGATTTTTCAGGCCGGCATTGTGTCCGAAGTGATTTGACATCTATCCGACATCCATCCGCCATCCAACTCTGTGTAATCATTACAGACAAAGGGTGCCGCCAACAGTGACCTCGGGCTGGTCAATGTAGCGGTTGACGAACCAAATTATTGATAACAAAATTTGAGGGGGAACTATGGCGAAATTATTTCTGGGCAAGCGACAGCCCTTCGTAACTTGTACGGGGTGACGAAAGAAGTTTGCGAAATTCGTGACTCAAAATTGAACCTTCAATATTCTCTCTGGTCTGCCCTTGCCGGCGCCAGCAGTGCTGGCCTGCATTTTTTGGGGCAGTTATGTCGCCGGCATTGTGTCAGAAGTGCCTCAACATCCATCTGACATCCATCCGTCATCCCCTGTCATTCGCCACCGTCATCCATTGGATGACGGATGGATGACGGTCGGATGTCGAGGGTCACTTCGGACCCGCCCTAATGACTCAGGAAACCTTTGAGGTGGTTGGATGAAAATGGGGTGGAACTGCAAGTTCCGAAATGAAGTCGTGGGTGGAGGCTGAATGGCCTTCAACCCTCATTATGTACTCGGCGAATTGTAATCCGTTGTTGATTTGCTTCGTTATAGGCAGTTGCGCTTCCACAATACGCACTTTTAGAAAGTACACACTTTCGAAAAATTTCATGATGTTGAAACTTCTCAATAACTCTCTCAATGTCCAACTCTTCTTTCTTCCAAACATAACTCGCTCAATCCCTCTTGGCCACCTTTTGCAACCAAACTACGTACACGTAGAACTCCTTATGCCTTGCACATCCCACCACGCTTAATCCCACATGCCTCTTCCGAGTCCTGACCCAAACTCCACCAGGGCCTAATGCCTCTTACAGCCTGATTTACTACCCCCCACCCCACCCCCCCCAACCCTACCCCCCTCTTCCCCCTCACCCCTCGTCTCTTTCCCCTCCCTCCCCCCCCCCCCCTCCCCCCAACTTCCCCCTCTCCCTCGCTCGTTACCGAGTCCAGCTTCCCAGTCCGTTGCACCTCTCCCTACTCAACTCCCTCAGTCCCTCGCTTATCTCCCTGCCAAAATCCCATAATACCACATGCTTACTACAAAGTCACAGATACCCGCCACCCTCTCCCCCCCTCTTCTCTCCCTCCTCTTCACTTCACTGCCCCCCCTCCAACTGCTTTGCACCTCTCCTAGTCCAACTCGCAATGTCACATACGGTGCGCCTCTCGCAAGCAACCCCTAGATCCCCATTCGTACCATTTCTGCAACCCAACCCATTGTTCGCACCTCTCACCACTCACCAGCTAGTATGCAATCTTGCCCTTGTATTGCAACCCACCCAACGTCCTCCATTCTCTCAACATTGTCAACGGGAGCCGACATAGGGGTTGGGTGTACGAGAAGTGCAGCCGACTTGCAGTAGTGGGCGACGCCGACTTGGGCGAGCTCGTCGACGGGTTTGGTCGACCTGCACGGGGCCACTACAATGTTGCCGACTTGCGAGGTCGCCGACTTGGGAGGTCACCGACTTGGGAAGTCGCCGACTTCAAGAGGTCGACCAGGAAGTCGGTGCCGACTTAGAAGGGGCGTCGACTTGGTGACGCTGACCTGGGGTGTCAGAAACTAACGAGCAGCAATGACTGCATTGAATGAAATGTGGGTACAAGTACTAACCCTAACTTTGGGTTGTACTCCATATGGGCAACCCCACTATAGCCTACACAGAACTAACAAATATATAGTTTGACACACCCCCATAGGAAAAGTGGGGGAGAACAAGGGGTCACAAGACCAGACAAGAAAAGAAAAGCAAGCCCAGGGGGGATCAGAACGTCACCACACACTCTTAGCACAAGCAAAGGGCCACAAGGCCAGTTCACATGCAAAGGTATATATGCAACAACAATAGTACAGTGATTACTACCTAGCAGGAGTAGGCATGCAGATATATAATATAGATCACAGTACAAACAAAGTCAGGAAGTAAGCAAGTGAGCAAACACATGCACCATGCCTAGAGCAGTGCAGAAGCGCTGATGGTCACTAGACGGAAGTGCCTTGGTAAACACATCAGCAGTGTTGGCCCGAGTGGCCATGTAAGCAACACGAAGCAGACCACGCTGTTGCAACTCTCGAGTGAGGAAGTAACACAGAGCTAAGTGCTTCGTTGTGTGCTCCAATCTGTGCTCATAACACAAGGTAATAGCAGCATTGTTGTCTACGTACAGAACTGGAGGAGAACGAGGCCTCTCTCCCAAGTCGGTCAGCAGGTAGGTGAGCCAGCATAACTCCTGTGCAGCCATGGCTGTCGCGTAGATCTCAGCCTCACACCTGGAGCTGAGAACAAAAGACAAGCGGGTAGACCGCCAAGAAACAGATTTGGAGCCAAGGCTGAACGTGTAACCCTGTGTCGACCGCTGCGTAGCCTGATCGTTAACCCAAGAAGCGTCTGATTGTCTAGTAGAGACAATTGCACCCCGCCCTCCAAGCACGAGCCCCATGCCTGATGTTCTGCACAAGTAGCGCAATACCCTCTTTGCAGCATCCCATTGCACCTTTCTGTGTCTACTAGGAGCCACGTAATGTGCCAAAAGGTCAAGAGGGTACGCAAGCTCAGGACGAGTCCACGTCATAAAAAACATGAGGCAACGCACTAGCTCTGGATACGGGCCACTCGGCTCTACGGACTCGTCTGAAGGTGGAGCTGAGAGCGAGTGACCGGTAGCCAAAGGAGTGGACTGTGGCGAGGACCAAGTGAAGCCGAAGCGCCAAAGGACCTGCTGCACCATGTGTGACTTAGTCAGGGTGATGATGCGGCGTGCTCTGTCCCGGGTGATCTGCAAGCCAAGGTAACTTTGCAGCTCACCAAGGTCCGTGCACGTGTGTCTCTTCTGCAGCTCCGACTTCACAAGGGCGAGTGCCTCAGTGTCAGCAGTGGCAAAGACCAAGTCGTCAACGTACACGAGGATGTAGAACGGCGACAGCGAGGTGTCGGTGCGTAGAAACAG